ACGAGTGGATTTCCACTCACTTGTGTATCGACGTAATGACTCGTGTGAGTGGACATTTAGAGGTCAGTCTCTAAGTGTTAGCCAACGTTCTTGACAGTAGACCTACTGAGAGCGAAACAACCTGTATTCATTTGCGGAAAAATTTCTTTATCGCGTTAATACAGAATAAAAAGTGGATCTAGAATATGCCTATCTACCAACGAAAGCGATAGAGCTGTTAAGAAATGCCTCTGATATTCTTTATTTTAAAAAAGCCTTTACCTCTCTTCTTGTCGCTGTATTATCTCAGTTAACAACTCTAGAAAACAATCCCAATTTCATAGTTTTTTTTATTCACGGGGAAGAATCTAAAAGAAAACCCAACTCACCTACATAGCATTTGAGCGGTTCGGCAAACGTGAACAATGTTAGAGAAGCGTAAATTATTTCCAAATACATGAATGTAGCAGGCTTTCTGCACAGATCGATGCTTTTAACTTATCAGATAGGTGATAAGAAGTTTATTCGTCATCAACTAGACGGACTGACCTCGTGGCGAGCTATCGAGCTGCAGAGCAGACATGTCAATGAGGTCTACTGATTGTATGATTATAAAGTTTTTTTTCGAATGACTGTATACCATATGTGATGAGGTGTAGGTCTTTCCAACAACTACTAGATAATCCAGTGTGTTTAGATGTAACCAATCAAGCGTGTTTTCCTTCCAGCTCCATTCAGCAGCTATGTCATATGTCTCTACTAGAACCTTCAATTTTTCACTTGTAACCCTTACTCTATGGTTATTCGTTCCTAGGTTACTCACTTGATCCTGCCTTACTCGGCTATCATTTGTTGTTTATGATACTCAACATAGTGATTAATCCCGACCTCACAGAGAATAACGAAGGGGTTGTCGTTTTATTTTCTCATTTTTGTATTCTCTTCTACCGACCTTTGTAAATCTGCCGTCAAAATTCCTGGAAACGAATTTAGTAAGGCACCTCCAGTAGCAGATCAGTTTTTTTATTACATAATAGAATGATTTTGAACATAGAGCGCCTCTGGAACGTATTCTCAGTAGCTTCACGGATTGGTAAGGGGTAGTTAGTGATAGAGGTCTTCTTTCTACGAGAAAGTTGTGGACGAAGAATGTTGTAAGATGACATATGGAACAGGCAAGACGATAAAGTCATAAAGGAACCCACGGCATCTGACCACCCTGCAGGTTCGGTCGACACCACTCGATTCTCTGCCTTCATGGGCTAGTTTTGTTTTTATAATAAACGATAATTTTCCGATAACTAAAGAAGTCGAGGGATTATGTACATGACAGATTTGTAGAAGAGACGCTATTCTATCGTCCTTTGGGTATGAAGAATGGTATGTGTGCTGGATTTACTATTTATTATTACGGTCCGTCATAGAACTGTCGGCGTGCAGAAGAATTTTGCAACTTATGTCGTGCTTATTTCGTAATTTTTATAACTACACATTCCATTCTACAAGGCACACGTCACAGAATCCGTGGCGATTAGACCATAATGGATCGAAAAATACTAGCAATACGTCAAAAGAGACCGAGTATCGTTGTAGTGTGAAGGAAATCAGGGGATTTATAGAGACCATAAAAGCAGTTCTCGGCTACATAAAAATGTTTCCATTTTCTTCGCCCGCGGTACATTAGACAGTCCGGTAGTTGTGACAGCCGGCTGGAAATAACGTCGGAGCGGCGAAAATCGCGTTTTTTGGGGTTTTAGCGGACAACTCGTCCGCGGACGCAGTGTCCGGCGTGGGCTTTGCAGGTGTACGTGACTAGCTGAAAGCCGATCGCAAATAGTTCTTCAAAGCTTGGAAGGGTCAATTTGGTTGGAATGTAGTTAGCCAAACACCTTCATAACCAAACAGAAGAATCGCGAAACTAGCATTTCAATCACACTGAAAACTAAACAGCTTCTTCGCTCACACACCGAGTTGTGTGAGTATTCCAGTGAATATTTCAAATGAAGACCAACATCACAAAGTTCACACGGACGAGTAATGTGCTTTTTTCACATTAAAACACCAGTTTAAGATATTGTGTGAAATCACGCGTGATAACAAAATATTCTGCTTTGCGGTTCATTTCCAAAATCTTAGAATTTATCCACAATCCTTTAGGAGTTTTACGCGGAGAAGTTTCTGATTCCTATGTGATAATAATAACTTCTGCTTTAAAATTTTTTCCGTTATGCCTCGGTGCTCTGTGCGGACCTAGTGGTGTATTAGGTTTAACTCTAAATTTACCGAGTAGGTGTTCTTTTATACGGGCGCAGGATGGTCTGCCCGTTTCGTCAATGTATTCATCACAGCACGCCTTACGAGAGATCAGATAAACCATACACGAACTCGTGCAATCATCGTCTCTACCATTAGTGCACATTGTGCGCTTTTGCGTTTTGGATAGACGGTCATGCAGGCGATTACGAACAGGTTGGCATCTTCGAACGCTCGGCGGCATTTCACTTACTGTTACCGAATTCTCTTGACGAGCCGTTTTTAGGCAACGTTTTATAGTTGCACTTATTTTGTTGGAAATAAAGCGTTAAGTTGCACTCCCACTGTTCATTCATTATCTTAAAACATTTGTCTGTTTCGTCTTTTATGCAAAAGAAGACAAAACGATCGTCAGTTTAGTTCTCGATGTTCGTTTCGAGTAAACACGAGATGTTAGTTTATTCTTTATTCCGTTGAAGCTGATGTTTTGGCAGCATCGCCTTCTTCAGAGCCGTTTTTTACGTGCTGTCCACGGAGGAAGACCATATGCGACTCAGACCAGATGTTCTTACTACGTGGAAGGCACGTAAAAAATGGTTGTGAAAAAGGCGACACTGCGGAAACGCCAGCTTTAACGGAATAAGGAATGAAGCAACACCTCGTGTTTGCTGAACAATGAAATCGAGAACTATTTGATCAATGCCGAGGTTAATAGAAATCGCCAATATATCTGAAGTGAGTAATGGACGCAAATCGGTTGCTGATGCTCCCTCCTTAGACATAAAGGCAATGGCAGGCTTGGTCCATGCCGCTGTCCCGTCTCCAACCTTTTCATTTGTGCGTGATATTTTCTAGACCATCTGAAGATTGGGCAATTTAAACACTCCTTGAAGAGCCGCACGTGCTCATAGGGCTGAAGTGATTTAGACGATCTAGGAACATCTGGGCGTCCGTAAGTTGTTTTGTAATGTATTTTAACACCTAGATATGTATTAGGGTTGAAAACATGCTATTCTATCGGTGTGTCAGTCTACACAGCTAATGATGGGTCTAACGTCGTTTTCTTGTTCAGCAATCGCGAGGTTTTTAAACAGCATACATTTACTTCCATAGAAAAACAATACAATACAACACGTCAGCTAGTGTTGTGCTGTATTGTGTTTCTCTATGGAAGTAAATGTATGCTGTTTAAAAACCTCGCGATTGCTGAACAAGAAAACGACGCATTCATATTCCAGTGCCGAGGTTAATAGAAAGTCGATCCTGGGAACTATTACAAGATGGGTCTAACCTTGATTAATGATGAATTAGTAGACCCAAGATCTTCAGCGATTATTGGCTTATAAGTTTTTACATGTATGCATAGGATGGGACGAGCTGGTTATTCAACTTTGAGTTAAGAAATAGCTGTTGATTTTAAAACAGGCATTTTTACCACCTTAACCTATTCTTTGTTCAATCATCGTTACTAACTGTTGAATTCTCTCTCAGATGGCCGATGGCGGGAAGCATCTTTCAGGTGCTTCTTCGTTATTTCAACACCATACTGAGGAGGAATCACTTCAAACTTTCGATCTTATCATTAACAGATAATCTAACGTTTTTTAACCTTTTCAGTTTTCGAAACTCTCACGTGCCACGTTTTTGCGTGATTGGAGCGAAGCTTCACACAAGAGTGATTACGGATTTTGAAAGCTTCGTTCGTAAACAACCGAAACTTAATATCAACTTAATTATTGGGCTTTTGCTGCCTAAAGAACGCTTGAAAAAATAGAGGTATTGGTAATGCTCTTACTGCTTGATGCTCGCTACTAGTTAGAGCTTCAGCTCTAGCTTAGTTACGGTGTCTACCTCGAATCGCATGCGAACTACAGGCGACGCTACGAAAGGATACCTTAGAAATAGGTAAACCTGATGAGACACTTGTGCCCAATTTTAATAATGATCAGGAAAAACCATGCCTCCTAACATGTTTTCAGTTTTTTGTGGCACATTATTTTCCCTACTTTGATTCCTTTGATCTTCGTTAGCGGTGCTTCTATAGTTTCTTGATGTCATGTTATCCGATCTACTCAGGCGGTCTTCGAATTTTCTCCGTAAGGCTACTTTAATATATTACACCTAGTAGAGTTGCAAAGCTACAGGTGGTCTTATGTATGTCCTTATACTGAGCACAATGGTATTCCTTTGTCGCACACTTCTTCAGCCGAGCGAACTGTCTGTCTCCTTCTTCTTCGTTTCGTCGACATACGCGTACTAGCCGCATTCCAATACCTAGTATTTGGCAACTTTCCAGGTCTAATTTGAGGTAATTTATGTTTCCATTTGCAGGATAGAGCTTTTCCCAGCCAACGTCCGCTAAAAGTTGCATGTTGGATGTACTATCGTTTGATTATAAAAAGCTTAGGATAAGACATGAAATGACTCACATAGAAGTCATACCACTCACGCGTATGGTTGTATGGGATGCAGGTCGTCCATTCTGTTTTAACAAATAAGGGCATGAGATAATCTACTTCTGTACATCGCAGTTCGGTGGACTGGAATACCGAAACTATATGTCGCAGTAAGTCTTTCAAATGAATAGTCGTGTGCACAGCACGTTTACTAATGAAATCAACTACGCATAAGTTAGACAAAAAAAGCCATTTCCTCTGTAAATATCAGCAGTACATGCAATCTTAATAACTTGGGCTTTTACTATTGAACCATATGATAGCTTCATTCTTTTAAAATTTATTAGTTATTAAATGTCGTCTGTGATAATATCATTCGGAATCCGAATAACATGCGTAGTACGCAGCCTTTCCAGTTAGTTTCCATAATCGGCGTCGAAGCATCCTCTGATAGGCTTCCAGACCGAAAAACTCAGCTTCACACTGAAATACGCAAAATCAGATATCACGCATACTTTGACTGGGTGCTTTTCGCTTTTCAACTTGGAGAGATTGAAATCACGACTAGTTTTTTATCGCATTGAAATTACCCAACTCACAACTAATTGTTGTAGGTGATACTTGTCGTCTGGTATGCCTGTGCGTCTACCGTTACGGATAAACTGGAGAACCTATAACATAAAAGGCTAGCTATTAGGACATTACTAAACCGACTTCCACGTAACCTCGGCACAAATAATTTATATATTTGTTAACATTGTTCACTTTAAACGAGGTTCTTATTCACACTATATTTAGCTAACGTTTCGACGTCTTCGTCTTCTTCAGAGCCACATTGGCCCGAGACGGTGATCCAAAGTCGGTCGTCCTCGCGATGTGGATCTTCGTATTCATGTCGAGTCTCGGGGAGTGGAACACAGCTCGGATGAAGTAACCTCAATCGGAGATTCCCTGCGGTTTTTGAGTGAATGTCGACTGATGGTGACGTATTTTTATGACGAAACTCGAACTATTAGTGTTTCCACTAGGAGTAAAGGTTAACAGTGGAGAAATAGAAAGAAGAACGTGGACAGTAGTTGTTGTCAAAAGGAATTATAAACGATCATGGTATTCTACGCCGAAAGGACGTCTCAACTGATGTTAGGATAAGCAGACATTAGCTGATGTTTTTTAACCCGCAAAATGGAATAGCTAGTCATTCTTCACAATATGACTGCATATTTGACGATTTTTCAAACTCTGTCAGATATTTCAAATTAACACATTAGTTCCCCAGTATCGACTTTCTATTAACCCCGGCATTGGAATATGAATGCATCGTTTTCTTGTTCAGCAATTGCGAGGTTTTTAAACAGCATACATTTACTTCCATAGGAAAACAATACAATACAACACCAGCTGACGTTTCGACAGTATCGCCTTCTTCAGAGCGTGGAAGGGTATGCTGATTTACAATCTACTAGGCCAAACGCCTCAATAACACTTATAAAAAGACGAAAAACTCTGTGGTAACTACGTGATCAACAGCTTCTCGAAATAGTCACCGCTTTTTGTGACTTCCAATAAGGAAGGTTAGAACAGCTGACTATAGTCGCATGTGGTTGACGACTGCACCATCCCACATCAAAAACCGATGCGAACATACGGGATCAGGTCGCGTATGACCTCCGGGCATTCGTTCCTGCTATTCATTGTAGGGTTTTTGGCATTAATCCAAAAAGCCTGAAGGAGTTTTCGCGCTAGTGTTTTCGACTCCTGTGCAAGGATGTTGACTTTTACTTGAAAATCGTCTCCGCTATGCTTTTGTATCCTCTGCGTGCCTAGTGGGGTGCTTCGTCTTTGTTTTCGTCTGCCATCTAGGTGTTCTTTTATACGGATACACAAAGGTCTGCCCGTTTCGCCAATATATTCATCTCCGCAATTATTACAAGATAGCAGGTATATCGTACCTGAACTCATGCAATCACCGTCCCTGCCGTAAGGGCAAATTACGCAATTTGTTGTTTCACAAAGACGGTTATACAGGCGGTTGCGAACTAATTGGCAACGCAGAGTAGCCGGTGGTATTTCAACTATCGCTACCGATTCATCTAGATCTGCCCTTCTTAAGCATCGTTTTATAGCTACGCTTACTTCATCGCTTATAAAAGGCAACATAAACGGGACTAACACATTAGTGACAATGTTCACTTTTCAATAGCTTCCAATGATTTTTTGCTTCCTATGCTTAGTGGTTATAGATGCGGCTTTATATGCGTATGCTCACTAGTTCAACTCCGTTCCTAACCAACCCTGCTGCCCATCCTTTTGTGTTCCGCCAATTGCTACCAGAATTGTCAACAAAAAACCCTCACATCGACGAAGAACGTCAAGTGCACGTGTTGAAGACTTGGAAACGTTCTTCAAGAGCTGGCCCGGAATTCCAGGAAGAATCAACACTACCAGCATTCAACGAAATTCATGAGGACGAAACCCTCAGGTAACATTGGGATCAATCCGCAAAACCAAAGACCTTTTCGGCGATAGGCCTCCCACTCAACGGTTCAGGGAATAGCCATTTATAGCTTCAGTACAAAGCATAGAAACTAATTTTTTTATATGACCCGTCTCCAAGTCTACTGTGCGAATCCCAGCACTTCTCACATTCGATTTGTTTCTCTGTATCCATTGCCCACGAAGATCTTCCAGCTTTGCGTGTGGCTTCGGTTGCTGCTTGAGAATTTTCATTTTACCTTGAATGTTGTAGAATGTTGGTCGAGCAATTCTCCTTGGAGTGCTGAGATAGCCGGGCTGGAGCGTTCCTAATTTAATCGCAGAGTGCTTTTTCCTAGACAAGTCTTGTACCAATTTCCCAGCCCCAGAGGGATGAGAGAGAGGCTTGATTGGTCCCGAGTGGAGTCGAAATAGCATCATGCTCGTGATGACGGACATCACTACCAATGTGCTATCCGCCTCTTCATGGACAGATACAGATATAAATTCTCGATAGAAACTATAGACGAAGAAAATGCGTGGAAATGGCATAAAAAGCGATCCAACGATAAAAATGTATGATATAAAAATATTAAGTATAAATATAAACGAAGGCGATATGAGTTATGGGATAACGTTTGCTATTCCGAAGTTATTTCAAACACTAATCTCTCCCCTGTGTCTAGTCATGTTTTTAGTACAATAAGATAGGCAGGGTATAAATATGTTCATGAAAGTCTTTACATTAACGTTTTTCCTTTCACAGGAATTCCACTCACTCGACAACCGCTCACCTCTCTGAACAGCACGCCGTCTCGATCGATATCCATACGGTGCTTTACGTGGTTCGGGGATGAGTCCCATTGTAAGCAGTTGACCTAAAATTTTAAGAACTACAGTTTATCTTTAAGTTTTAACATTTTAAAGGAAAACTACAAAAGCACTGTATGAATGAGCTGAAAATAGTACTCTCCTTCCAAGCGTTTGAATGTGTGAAGTCGATTAGCTAGCAAAATATGCTATAATGCCACTTTGGACGGAAGATAGCCATGAAAACATTCAACACCCTCTGCATCGATTTTAATGCTGGGTCCTATTAAATGCATCGATTTCGATGCGCAGTCTTTTCGATGTTGTATATTGTAGAAAGGACTTTAGAAAACCTTTAATAATACATTAATGGCTTCGCTACCATGCATTTGCTTTATACCTCATCGGAAAAAAGCTTCTTGGCAATTATACAATATAATATGCAAGTAAGGTGGCAAAATATTTTTGTTCTGTCGCACTTCGCATCCTATGCATTGATTTAGATGCATGTCGTGCATTTCGAAAAATTGATTGTACTTCGTTCTCGCCAAATCATCAAAAGTATGCCTCGTCGCAAATTTATGGACATAAATCAGAATAGAAAGGAATGAAACAAAGAATGAAAAATGAACCTCACCTTTATTCCCTCAGCAACTCGTATGACCCTCTCTCGAAAATATGTGCCGTTTGTTTCCTGGTTTAAGAGAGTTTTCAATTGAACTGGATAGACCTAAATCTTCTTATCCTTTGCGGAATTTCTTTTCCCTATCCTATCTTTTTCCCTAATTTATTTATAAAATTTCAAAATAAAATAAAATATAAAATAAAATAAAATTATTTTATTTATTTATAAAATTTTAAAATAAAATAAAATATAAATATAGATAGAACTAGCTGAGATACATGCAAAGCGAAGGACTCGCATGGTGTAGTGGTGAAGTGCGCTGCTCCCCGGTAAGGACAACAGCGCGTGTTCGTTCCCCACTGCATACACCTGTGGTCCGGAGATTTGCAAATATCTCAGCATTTCATACGAGTTATATTTCACAACATACCCTGCCATTAAGAAGAAAAAGGCAGTAAATAAAAGAGTTAAAATATAAAATAAAATAAAATTTTATAAAATTTCAAAAATCCAAAGACCGGAAGGACGAATGTCTCACTATCACGCGTGACCTGGCGCCCTATTTCAAAATGATATTTTGACCCCTGGGCGTGTCTTGCTCGCGACTCCACGTAAACAACGCGTGGACCAGTCCCGCACGTAACATCACGGTGAGTGGCCTTCTGTTCAATACGGCGTCTATTTGAAAGTTTGATCTTCATTAACACTTTAACCTTTCTTTTCCACCGAATAATAAAAATATTCTAATATTAAATACGTCCAGGTTCTGAGGAAGGCGAAGTCGCCGAAACGTCAGCCATCGATCAATAACATCAAAAACAACGAAGATCTGTACCAACCTCGCGTCAGCTTAAGAAGATCAGTTTATAAGATCACATAAATAAAAAAAGAGAGAAAATTACACATTTCTTGAAAACGAAGATACTGAGAAATTTCGTACAAGTCCTGTCTCATTATTTATTCGGCATTTGATTAAGATATTGAAAAAGTTCACCAGCGATTTTTTAAGACGCCAAGGTAAAAAAATAAGCAAAAATCTCTAGAAGAGTTTAAATTAATTGTGACGTTATCGAAAATAGCGACCAGTGAGGACGTACTACTCCTCCAACGAACAAATTCACATAGGACCGATCCGATTTGAAGAGTATAAAATCCATTGAACGTCTCTATAACCGGTCGGTGTGGAATTAATTGAGTAGATGACTTCCTGTAAGTTTTGAATACTTTTCCATGGATTTCTTCCAGAATAAAAGGGCAACGATCACAGTATGCAAATGGGTACGACAAGGAATACATTTTAAAGTTTATTAACACTTTCGCTGCTGAGACGGTCGCTCGTCGATTGACGGCGATTTCTCGATCTGGATTTCTAGAGTACTTTAGGAGCTCTCAACTCCATAGATATACAGAGAAGAAAAATCTCTTCTCTATCGTATTAATCGTATATGCGATTTCTATACAGTGTCCCTTCAAATTTAAATAAGTTTAGAATCAGTAAGGGCGCGTGTGGCGCAGTGATTGGAGGCGCCACTGCGACACACACGTGGAATAGGTCCCTGCGCTCATGGACCACCAAGTCTTCCATCCCTCCGGGGTCGGAAAATTGCTACTAGATTTGTGTGCGAGGATAGCAGCACTGGCTCGGTGCATCGGTAGACCACTACGAGTCATAGTAAAGGCCAGGTATGCATTCAGTCACCTCCAACGATACTTAATGAAGTCGAATGCATGGCGCATCCCTCAGGGATTGATCAACGCCGAGAGCTTTAGAGTTTTTAGAGCTTTAGAACCAGTATTTCCAAGAGCTTGAAGATGAAATCTACAACTTTTGAAATATCCAATGCAAAAGCAAGACCTACAAACATAAATGGCATATTGATAAGCACCACAGTGTCGTATGGACGAAATCACGATTGTTCATTTGCGTTCGTGTTTGAAATACTAGCCTAACGGCAGAAAATTATAGGAAACATGTGTCATGGACTTCAGAAAATTTTAATGTCTTTTTTCACCATAAGACAAGAAAACTGTTCTCCTATGAGAAAGGACTGTAGATTCAAACGATTCATACTGAAATCAATGGAATTGATAAAGAGCTGAGATGTGGTAGTTTAAATTTGAAAGCTGTCATCATTTTCCGCGACGAATGACTCCTATAACGGTCACGTTGTCTCGCATGTGTTAAGTTATTGTGTGCAATCTACATTTGGAGCCACTAAAGCACATGTCCGTAACTAGTATCATTTTTAATAGGCATACTCGACTCCATATAGTCGAAATTTTCATTTGTGATAGCTAGCACATACCAAGGCGTGTGTAACGCAGTGGTCGAAGGCGCCCTTCCATACACATGGCATTGATCACGCGCCCTAGGCCCACCAAGCCCTTCATTTCCCACAATCGGCATCATGCTTGTCTCGAAGGATAACATTACTGGCTCGATACACTGGTAGGCTGCCACGAGTCATTGTAAAGGGCAGATATGCATTCAATCACCTCCAACAGTGCTTAACGAAGTCGAATGTATGGCGCTTCCCTCAGGGACATAGGTTAAGAAAAGAACCTTGCATGTGTCGTGACTACAACCATATCGTTCTTTGCAATTTTAATATGGTAATTTACGTGAGAGGTATGGCACAAAAAAAGCCGAGAGAAATAGCATGCATATTTGGCTTTGTACTACCGAAAGCACATCAATGGTGGAAATGAATGGCTGATGAAATTGATTGAGATAAAGACATTCACTCCATTAGTTATAGCGATGCGAACTACTAGCTCATAAAAATGTGACATGGTTCTCATTGGAATTCTTACCTGAACGTGTGAATAACACTACTTCTTGAGTAGTCGTATGGGTCGCAGTACAATTCCTGTTGACAATTCGATGGTTTTCTCCAATAAGCAGAAACGAGGTTGTTATTATAGAATTTATTAGGATACAATAGCTGACATTTCGGCAGTTTCGCCTTCTTCAGAGCCGTTTATTTGTTGTAAGTACTTAAGTTGGTTGGTGGTTAGCAGCCGCACAGAGTAATACAGTGGGAACAGAAGTGGGCGAGGACTAATAAATTCTAATAGTGGGAACAGAAGTGGGCGGGGACTAATAATAATAACAACCTCGTGTCTGCTTATTGAAGGAAACCATCGAATTATCAATCAGTGCGGAGGTTAACAGAAAGTCAGTAATGGGAATTCCTGTAGATATGATGCATTCCTGGTTGTGAAAGGTTCACCGTAATCCCATGAAAACAGTGAGAAGATTACAAGATCTTAACCTTTTTATTCACTGCCTATTCTTTTTAACGGCAGAGTATTATGCGAAATATAGCTACTATAATGCTAAGATATTTGCAAAACTCCGGACCGCAGGCGTCTGCAGTGGGGAACGAACGCGCTATTGTCCTTTCCGAAAAGTAACGCGTTCACCACCACACCATGCAGGTCCATCGTTGGGCTCCCCAGATCAATCCCGTTGAGGTGGTTGCTGATGGCAAAAAGATCGATAGAACTAGTTGAGAAAAAGGCGAAACGAAGGACCTGCATGGTGAGGTGGTGAACACGTTACTTTTCGGAAAGGACAATAGCGCGTTCGTTCCCCACCGCAGACACCTGTGGTCCGGAGTTTTGCAAATATCTCAGCATTATAGTAGTTTGATTACGAGATCGTTACCACAAGGGTTTGTGGAGGAAAATCTACCGCTTTTTGACAATGAGCGTTCCCTTCTTAATATAGATAACTTGTTTATAGGGTGAAGTCTACAATTCAATACCTAAGGATAATAACGGGAAACCACTACCGTCGGAGATATTTATTGTAAGAATAGATGAGGCGGAATTCATCAAGATAAAGAAAGATGAATGGATGGAATACATGCTGTCAGATTGACTGCAAAGCAAATCTACATAGATCTTTAAAAAAAATTCGACACTAAATTTAATGGGTAGCGCGGTGATTAGAGGTGCCTTCAATACGCCACGTGATCCTTGGTTCGTTCGATGCCGCGCCGCAGCTCACCCACCCTTCATTCCTCTGGGGTCAACAAATTGATGTCAGACTTGTCTGGGGAGGGGGAATAAGAGCTTTATGAGAGGGTAGTAGCACTGACTTGTTGCATCACTAGGCCATTGTCAGTCATAGGATACACCAAATATGCATTTGTCCCGCCTCTAACGATGCATGATAGAAGTCAAATGCATGGCGGCCTTCGGGAATAGATCAATGCAGAAAGCTCTATCCTTTTTATCTGTGACAGCTGTAGTATGTGAAGAAAAGAATAGAGTGAAACAAGTGTCGTGTAGATAAAAGCGGTAATGTAAGCTAGATATCATCTTTACACGCAGCGCATTAGGTAGAATGATAATGGATCTCAGCACAGCTCCTGCTGAGAAAGGCTGCTCGTTCTGAGAGCTTTAATCGAATTGCTAAGAAATAATGAGCTCCATTGTTAATTGCTCACTCAATTATATCTCCATTCCCAATCTTCGAATAAAATCCAGCATTTTCAGTGGAATACGAACAGTCCTTGAAGATTGTACCAAGAATAAATTTTTATCCAAGTCGCATAACTACACAATCCTGCAATGATACGAAATTTTTTCCTATTTTCTTAACAGCAATGGCAGGCAATATTTCATTTATGCGAAGTATTTTCAGCCAGCTACCTATGGCGCCACGTGGCGCCTCGTCCGTTGAGTAGTTAGTCACGCACTGAAAACAACCATGTGCTTGCTGTTGTGTCACACCTGTGCATTTATGGGTGTGGACCACCTTTCTATGAAAATTCGTTGCCCTCGATGGCTTACTGCCGTCTCGTAATGCTGCGAAGGAGATGTGGCGTTGAACTGCAATGCAAATGTTAGGCGTGGTCGCAAAAGTTTGTAATGGAACATGTAGCAATTGGGTCAATAGTAGTATATTAAATGTGTAAACTGTAAACGTTATAGGTTATTAAAAACCGCAAGTATTATGTAATAGTTCAGTGCTAATCAGTACATGAACGAGACGCCGTTTGCTTGATCCCTTACCGGCAGCTCAAGTGCTATCCACCGCACCAATCGAGGCCCTGGAGTTGGCTCTCCCTCAGCCGTTTCGTTTCTTAATCCGTGTTCATTAGTATACAGATACATACCTAAATATTGTTTACATACCTGAACTTCAGAGATATTAATATGAAATAGAAAAGGAACTTCGTGTTAAATTGGATCAGCGATTGCGTCATATTGGCGGACGTCCATGTTAACGGAAAAATTAGTAACTACTCGTCACGCATGAAATTTTGGCACCACTAACTGCAAACTGTAATCATAACGTAGAGCAGGACCCAGAAGGATAAACCAATATCACTTTTTGATGTATCACTGCTAAGTTAGCTAACTCTAACCTTTTCCTAACTAAGATATCGACGATTAGAGTCCTTCGCCAACAACCAAGGAAAGAAATATGGTCATCAGAGAATCCTGTGATAGAACAGGAGCCATTTGTTGCTACCACAATTATTTGTCTAAGCGGGTATTGATCCACATCTCCTTAATCGTACACATCCGATTCGGATTGTTAGTTGTTCGATTGAATCGATGTTCATTGGTAAACTCGTATTGACGAGAACGCCAACGACGCGGACTCCTCTACCGACGCATGATCCGAGGAACAGTTCTTCTCCGGTGTCATAGACGGCGTTGAATGGGTGGCGTCGTCTCGACTCGGCGAGGCCGATTACGTCGTACCTTATCCTTCTTGCTTGCATGAGCAAGTCTTCTATCGAGGAGTCGGATGCAAGTGTACGTGCATTGAAGGTACCGATCGTCACCATAGTTCTTTGTATTCCAGCTTCCATTGGTCCTGAGATTTTATCAGCCTCTTCGTACTCGTCCTAGCCAATGCTGTGAAATTGGCGGCTCTTTCGAGGTCAGTGGAATGAGGCCCGTTTTTTTCTTTACTGTGTTTAGCATTTTGATACCTACGTATGGCTTGCTGGGCTCAGAACGTGGGGGCTGGGTATACCCACAGATAGCTTGCCAGGCTCTCCCAGAGTTGACATCGGGCTTGTTTGTTGGTGGAGGAGACTTGTAATCGCCTCCCATATAATTCCCTGTCATTTGCTTGCAGGCTTTTGGCCGAACTGACTCATAGGATACAATCCCCATGAACGAGAGCGCA